TTTTCCTTGCACTGGCAGTACATCCTTTCAAAAGGGGGAAGCAATCGATGCTCTCAGGGTCCCCCCTGCCGTAATGCAGGGAGGTGTTCATGCATGCAGTATATGTGATGACCCGTCCAAACATGGACTGAAACACACAGCTGATTTGTGAGTTTTGCTCATAGACTGAATGCCCTGCTGAGTTTCCCGCTTGCTACTAAGTCTGTGTGTGCACGCTTGCTGGACTGCATGTCTGTCTGAGTGCTGGTGGGCTTGAGTGTGTGTGTGGCCGTGCCTGTCTGAGTGCTGGTTGGCTTGAGTGTGTCTGTGGCCGTGCCTGTCTGAGTGCTGGTTGGCTTGAAGTGTGTGTGTGGCCCGCAAGGGCACTTGCTCGCTCATTGGGCCCTCAGGGCCGGTACTTACCTGTGGCCGTGACATTGAGGGATTGCAGCACGAAAAAACCTCAAGTAGCGGGTAGGCCGGTACCGCACCCTGAAGGGGTAGATGTGTGGGTACTGGAGGCCGAGCAGAAGAAGACAAAAGTGGCATTTTTAGAGGCCCAGTAGTTGTAGGTTAGGTCTAGGYGGATACCRGTCCAACCAGTCYGGGTCTAGGGCCTGTACGGGCAATATCAGAGTCTGCAATGATGTTTCSCTCCGAAAGGGAGGAGGTACCRGTTGCTTGGAAGGYCGAGYGGCCTGGAAGTCACCRCCCGAAGAGGCAAGCAGGCCGCTATATCTCCCAGCCGGGCGAAGAGCCCGGCCTCTTTTTCGGTGTGCAAGTTTGGCGACACACTGGTGGAGTGCTGGCTGGAGCAGCGCTATGCTGGAGCAGCGCTGCTGGGGAGGAAGGAGAAGGACACGAGGAAGGAAGAAGGAAGGAAGGGGGAGGAGCGCCAGGGGTCCTTACCTGGCTATGGTGGCAGCCATCTTCATCACCTTGGTGGGTGCTGCAGCTGGGAGTCCCAACTGGGAAGAGCCACAACAAGAAGCTTCGAGGCAGGGTCCGGCATAACGGCCTGAGCTAGAGCAGCCATAGCTGCTTTGGGTTGTCCTTTGGGCATCTGGGCACGGCCTAGTAGTCCGCCATAGCCTCGGCCTATGAGAGTGAAGAGTGGGAGAGGCGGCCATGGCTACAGTGGACCCCAAGTGATACCTGCAGTAGAAGAGGGACTCGGACATTGATTCTGGATCAGCTATTCAACATTGTATTATTATTTCTTGTATGAATAAGAGAAGGGGGAGATAAGGAGGAGGGGATTGTTGGGCGAAGAAGAAGAGCCTTGTCATTTGTCTATGCTGGTGTACATCATCTTCTTCTTCTTTCTTACTTCTTCTTCTAAAATCCTCTCTCTCCTCTCAAGTTCATTCATTTCTTTCTGCAATTGGACGGCGTTGTACTATCTGATGGATGTGTATCTCGAAATTGGCCAGGATCATAACATATATGTACTTTTGACTTGCCAGTAGAATAGAAGCTCGCGGCTCCCCAGAACAGAAGGAGCTAGGCCCCAGAATAGGAGCTAGGCCACCTTGACTTGCCAGTAGAATAGACGCTCGCGGCTCCCCAGAACAGGAGGAGCTAGGCCCCATAATAGAAGGAGCTAAGCCACCTTCCCCCCCTCCCACCCCCCCCCACCCCCGAAAAAAGCAGTACCACCAGGAGCAATTTTGTGAAACGGTATGGTATTGATATCATGCTCCCCGAGTGCAAAATGGTGCAGCATGACACATGTACCGCATTGGCTTGGAGCGATATTGCACCTCATCGCCATGAGGTAGTTGAACCACAGCCACATGCAAAATTATGCAGCATGGCCCGGAGTTTTCAGTCCTACCAGCAGTTCAGGTCACAGCATGATCACCAATGTCAGTGAACACGTTGCCATGGGGACCCTGATGGACCCAAAAAGGCACAGTCCTGACTGGTTCATCACTTCCTAGAACTTCAGCCAGCTTAGCCTTTGGAATTGCTCAATCGAGGCAAATCCAATACGGAGCAGGTGTGAACTGTTTCATAGCACGTCATACTGTCAAAGAACAATGGAATGGAGAAACGGGTGAACGAAAAACTGGGTGTAATGAACCCAGTCAGACGAGAAGCTCACAAATGTCGATATACAAGTCTGTCATCGCACGACATCAATGTCCCCAAAAATCGTTCATGAAACCGTACTCGTCACACATGTAGTCTCTCAATGTCTTGTAACCAGAGATAATGAGGAGAGGAGGAGAGGAGACAGAGAGGAGGATGAGGAGAGTTCCCACAACAAAGCAGGATCCCATTTGGTACCTCTTCCTCCTTGGGCATTCCTTCCCCAACTCGCCACGTCAGCAAAACAGTTCCTCCCTGACGATCTCTGACATACACATCGAGCAGGTCACAGCAGGGCGCCCATCCTCCTGCCACATAAGCAGCAGGTGAGGAGGATGGCGCAGATCTCCTCCTTGAAGACAACCAGCAAAACACATGCAACGTCGCAGGTATGTCCAGGTAAGCTTCTCCTTCTCCTCATACCATTCTCACAGTCCAGATCCTCCTCCTCCTCGCCCTCACTCCAGTCAGTGTCACAATCAATGTGGCTATGACCACGTCAGCATAATCGCCCACAAGGCTGGCGCCGCACACAGAGTATGGCGCCAGCATAAAGCTCCCGCAGTCTCACATTGCCGCACTAGCATCGAGCCAGTGTCAAGCAGAACGCACAAGACTGAATGCTCTCCAACAGGGGCTGGGTCAACTCATAGTGTCGACTCACGTTGACCAGCGTCTGGTCTCTCGGGCACGACGGCCCAGATCTGTTGGCAGCCGATGGCCAGGATGTCGCACAGTTGCAGATTCCCACCCACCAGGACTGGATTCTTCTGGATAGATGCAGACAACCAAGGATGTGCATTCGCGATCTACGGCCGAGGCTGACCAGTGGGTGGAGTTTGACTTCGGGGCCTGGATTCCCAAGCTGTTGACTCTCCCAGGGTCAACTGTTGCACATAGGGCCTCTGGAGGCCGGTTTCGACCTTGCCCTGGGTACCCCTTGCCATCAGGCCTTTGTCCAGGCGTTACCAGGACTTAGGGCGTGACTTTTGACCCCTGTTACAGGCCTTTGACCAAACGTGACGACTTACAGCCTCGTCTAATGCAGATTTGAGCTGAGTTATTGCACTGGGGGTCTGTGAAACTGAAAGTTCAAGAACTGGGGAATCTGCCGCAGAGTTCCTAGTTAAACCACGACCTCCATTCACAGGCAAAGGCTTCCGACACTTTGTACACAACCTTTTGGATGAATAATGCTACCAGACCTCAATGGCTGGTGGTACCAGCCAGAAACAAAGCAAACGCACCTGTGCCAGGTCTTCTTTTTTGGCACAAAGTGGAAATCCGCATCAGGAAAAAGAGGCTCTGATGTACTGGTGGTTAAAGAGGGGGGGGGAGGATGAGAAAATGAAACAAAAAAAGGAAAGCAGTGAGGAAAGGGAAGGAAAGAAAGGAAGCAAGGGAAGCGCAGTGGCCGAAGGAAACCAAAAAAAGGACTGGTCTTCCATGAGACTGAATAGGTCACTGGCCCGGAGAAAGGAAACGGAAGGAGGGATTGAGGGAGCAGGGGAGAAAGAGAAGACAAAAAAGGGAGGTAGGGAAGCAGGAGGGAGGGAGGGAAGGTGGGTGGGAGGAGGAACAATTGAAAGGAGTGAGGAAAAGGGAAGGGAGGGACGAAGAGGGAAGGAAGGGAGGAGAGCGGCAGTCAGGCCGGGAGGGAGGAGAGAGGCAAGGGACGGAAAGAAAGCTGGAGGAAAGGACGGACACAGGGAAGGGAGGATGAAGGGAGGAAAGAAAGGAACAAGGGAGGGAAGGAGGAAGAGAGGAGGGAGAGAAGGAAGGCAGGAAGACAAAGGGCAGCAGTAAGGGGGGGAAGGGATAAAAGATAATGCAAGAGACTGAATTTGAAGGGAGAGGAGTGAGGGGGAGGGGAGCGGGCGAGGAAGAAGAGGGGAGGGAGGGTGAGAGGAAGGAACGATGGTGGGAGGGAAGGATGTGGGGTGAAAGAGATGGAGGGAAGGAAGAGAGGGGGGTGGAACTGGGGAGTGAGAGAGGGAAGGTACAGAGGAGGGACAAGGGGGTCAGGGGGCGGGAGAGTGAAGGTTGATGAAAGTAGACACCCAGGCAGGCAGGAAGGCAAGTGGGCAAAAGAGCAAAAAAGGAAGGAAAGGAAGGCAAGAAGGGAGGAAGGAAGGCAGGCAGGCAGGGACAGGAGACGGAGACGAAGGAAGCAAAAGTACGGAGTAAGGGAAGGAAGGAAAGGGGAGGAGGGAGAAAGGAAAGAGGGAAACTGAGGAAGGAAACAAAGGGAACAAAAGGTGGGGAAAAGAGGGGAGTGAGGGAAGGAGGGGACGGGAGGGAGGGGTGGAGGGAAGAACGGAGTGAAGAAGGAATGGAAAGACAAAGGAAGGGAAACAGTAACAGAAGTGATGGAGAATATGAGGCACGGGGGAGAGGAAAGGGAGGGAGGGAAGGGAGATGGAAGGAATAGAGGAGGGATGAAAGGAAGGATGGAAGGAAAGAAAAATCGAGGGAAGGGAGGAACCAACTCGAAAAGAAATGAAGGAAGCAAGTAATCTAGGGAATCGGAAGAGGGCGAGGACGAAGGCAGGGAGGGAAGGAAGGTCGGGGGGCAGGGATGCAGGAAGGAAGCCGACTGAGAGGGAGTAAGGAACGAAGGGAGGAAAGCCGGCAGGTGGGAGGGAGCAAGAGAGCGAGGGAGTGATGGAGGGGGGGAGGAGGGGAGGAAGAACAGAGCTAACAGGGAGCATGCAGTCTGCAGGCGTGAGCATTACAACCCTTGTCATGCCTCACATAAAACGAATTTCATGGAGGATCATTGTGGAGACATGAGACATCTGAACCCATAAACGGCCCCCAGGTGGAGATCCTCAGTGATTATCATGCTCAGTACCATGCCAAGCCGGCTCAAATGACGATTGCAGACTGAGAAAGGCAGAGCAACAGGTGAACAGAAGTCTACTCACCGTGAGGTTAGGACCATATTGCTCCTTGAGTTCAGTTTTCTTATTGCGCTTCAATGAAAAACTCGCCCTTTTCATTACAAAATTGAAAGTGTATGGCTGTGTCTCCTGCAGCCACAGGTTATGGACACATCAAAAAATCAGACCCTAGCCACACACTGCAAGGCTAATCAGAAAATATAATACAGGTAACTTCATACGTAAATAATCTCAGCTGGACAACCCATCAACACCAGTAGTCCATACGAGTACCATTCCAAGTCAGCACATAGTCTCAGGACATAATCGTCCATTCAAGGACTGTCCTAAGGCCATAGTCTCACCATCTGGACAGGTAACTTCCTCCATATGTACTTAGTCTCATCTGGACAACCCATCAACACCAGTATAGTCCATATCAGTACCGTTTCAAGTCAGCACATAGTCTCAACACATAGTAGTCCACACAAGGACTAGTCTCAACACATTAGTAGTCCACACAAGGAGTCTCAACACATAGTAGTCCACACAAGGACTAGTCTCAACACATTAGTAGTCCACACAAGGACTAGTCTCAACACATAGTAGTTCACACAAGGACTGTCCAAAGGGCATAGTCTCACCATCTGGATGATACTAAGGTGATGTGACTGCAGTTACCCATGTTCTGCAGTCTGGGCCCTCGAAACGAAGCCCAGACGATGCAGGCCAAACTCGGCCTGCGCCAGGCAGTGTGACCACGCACTGCCTAGGAAAGTCAAAAGTCTAAGTCAACTGTCAAAGGTACCATGCCCAGGCCCTTGGTCGGATACATTCACTTGTTGTGCGCAGGTACCCAGACAGCATCAAGACCACAGGGAGTTCGGTYTCAGGCAAATCTGGGCCGCCATTTGTCTTGAGATCTCGACGGCCTAGGGAAGCAGCAACCAGGGTCCAGACCCCGCATCAACGCTACGTAAGCCCGGACTACCTGGCTGAGAGGACATTCTGTCTTGCGCCAATGCTGACTTCACGCGTTGACTTCGATGCTAGTACGACGCTGTGATACTGGCTGGACACTGGCTCTACGCTGGCACTTGAGCGACTACGGCGACGCGCTGCTGGCTCCGGCATGGTGGCTGGCTGGCAATTGTCTTCTGGGCATGCTGATGTGGCAGCTGCCACGCGCCGCTGCCGATGTGGCTGCTGCCACATGTACTCTTGCTGATGTGGCGGGGCTACATGTCTGCTATTGCTGTTCTGAATCATCGTCACTCGGAAGGAGATCAAGACTGTGGGGCGATTGTAGATACGTACCTGGTCTCTCGATGTCGACATTGCTCCAGCTCGCTGATGATGACAGGTTGACGTGTCACGTGGCACATTGAGATGGAACTTCAGATTTGTGTTCGGACTATTGATTATTGAGGTGGCGATCGAGGAGGGAGCCCGAAGCAGAAGTGGGCATTGTTTTCTTCTCCACTCTAAGTCTATTCTCCCTTCTCTCTCTTTCGTCTGTGTATGTTTCCCCATCTCATTCTATCTGGACACGATTTTGATTATTGACAATCATCAGCAGGTTGATATCTATCTGGGCTTGCATTGTTGACAAGTGTCTTCACGATCTGGGTTCATTGCAAATTGGTATCGGAGCTGTACTTCCGATGATGTGACTAACAACGACGACCTGTACAGAACGACAACGAAGAAGTGGTGACGCCTACAACCAAGGAGTTGACGTGGATAAGATTGGAATTGTGCACGTCAGGTGCTGACGTGGCATTGGTATCCTGACAGGGGAAACTCCAGCTAGGATAGCGCTGCCATCCAGATCTCGATCGATCGCATCTGCGATCGGGATGCATCGCTGACATGGCCAGTAGTTGTGGAGGAGTGCTGACGTGGCAATGCTGACTCACCACTCGTCTACTGTGGTGAGTAGCTTCAGACTGATGTGGCACTCCATTACCTGGCTGAAGTGGCATTGTACGACGCACTGGTATTGCTCCTGGCGTGTACCCCACTGATGATGCTGACTGGACTATAGTGCTGACGTGGCAGACTCAAGCGCTGCTGTGTTGGCACACCAGGGGATACACATGGCAGGCAGGAAAGTGACTTACTCGACGACGACATCGACGCACATTGCTGGCGTGCACCCCATTGCTGACCTTGATTGGATTGGACATGCTGACGGGGCACTCTATGAGTTGCTGAGTTGGCATGCCAGGGGTGACATGTGGCAGGCACGGTTGTGCCTAAGTAAGAATTGCATTCTGATGACTGAAGCGGCACGGCTGGAAAACTGACATGGCTGTGGTGCCATACGTCAGATTGGGTGCTGATCACACAGGTCCGAAGAAGAAGCAGCAGCAGGGAAGAACGCTAACTATTGTTGTGATTTTGTTGGCGGACTTACCTGTTGTCTTGTGCTGTGTTGTGTACCTGTGTACTTACTTGTGTGTGTCGATGATCATGCTGGCCTGAGTAGCAGTACCTGAAATAGAACAGAACATCATCACATAGAAATAGAACAGCAACCAGGATTAGTAAAGAAATTTATGTTCCTTGTTATTAAATCTTTCTGTTCAGATAGTGTGAATTTGGTTCGGGTGACCGTTAAATTATTCTCTCTTTTATTTATTTTGCGGTAGACCAACCTGGCCGACGAATTTTCTTGTTTCTGTCCTCCGAAGATGTCTCACTCCTGGAAATGTTTGCAAAAGTCTATTCTGACGAGGTTTGTGACCACATTCTTGTTTCCTATTCCGATCACGCTCTCCATGGGCAAAGGACCGTCTGAGCCTAAGACTCGGACGCAGGCTGAGAATAAGAAACAAGAACTGTTGGCTTTGTGGAACCAGTTGTTGACCGAAATACATCTATCCGGACCGGATGCTAAACAACACATCCGTGATAGATTTGATTTGAAGACCGTCTGAAGAAATCTATCACAGTTGTGGAGGTTGTGGCAGCCGGGACCGAAGTATCCAAACTGGTTGCCCAGTGTCGACAGGCGCTGGACCAGTTTGCCTTGAAACAGTTGGAAGAACTAATGGAATTGACTCGTAAAGGCGAGACCAAGCCAGAAGTAAGCGAGGCTACGATTGATGCAAACATCCAGCAGTTGAAAAAAACACTGGCCGCAGAAGAAAGGAAGAAAGAAGAGCTGGCCAGAAGAAGAGAACAGGAACAAAGAAGAGGACAAAAAGTTAAAGAAATTAGACAGGTGATTGGAACAGAAACTGGAGAACAGGCTGACATGTCACGTACATTGTCTCATATTGTGACTTAACTTACCTTTCTGGAAGAGAGAATTGACCAACAGCAGACTCGGTTAGATGAGATTGTTGTACGACTACGAACCATTGCAAAAATTGTGAAAGGAAAAAAACAGATAGAGGGTGAGGAAAAACGGGAAGAAAAAGAAGATAAGAAAGAAGTAAAGAAGTTGATGGGAGATGCCATAAAGTCTGTTGGTCCAACAATTAAGACGTCGACTAATGGGAATGGACCACCAAGTCCATCATCCTCTCCACCTAATTCCTCTTATTCGTCTCCTTCTTCGACAACTCCGGGTAAGACAAGTCGTCTCCTTCTTCGACAACTCCGGGTAAGACAAGTGCACAACCGAGGAAGCCAAAGAAGAAAAAGAAAGTGAATATGAAATTGCCTTTCACGTTTAGTAATAAGAAAGATGAGAGTCTGTTGCTTTGGATTGCTGAAATCCAAACGTATGTCAGCACTGCTCCGGTCGAACCGGAGTCCCAAGTTGCGTTCACCACCTCTTGTATGGGAGGTGAGGCAAAACAATGGGTGTTGGCTGAGGCCAACGTCAAGGGGTTCGAAAACATTGGCGAGTGGGCAAAGACGTTGACCTTGAAACAGTTCTTGGCCAAGATCAAGGACCGTTTTCTCGAGAAGACAACGACCGACAAGGCATTTGACCAGTTAACAACGATTGGTCAAAAACATTGGGCATCGGGCGAGGCTTTGTCCCGCGAAGTTGATCGTTTGCTGCAGGTTCCAGGATTGAACCTGCAAGACAGCCAAGTGTTGTATATCTACTCCTGCGCATCGCTTGAGCCCATCCGAGGACACCTGGTTGCTGAAGCAAAGTCAGGTAAATATAACTATATCTGCAAAGGGAGCAAATGACTTCTCAAGTCAAAACTCCTATGCAGCCGTAGTTAAGTTTGGAGGAGGAGGAGGAGGAGGAAGGACCTACGATGGGAAACGAATTTTCTGGCGACAAAAGCGCCAGGACCACACCTTTGTTGTCTTCGATGATGACATAGTTGTAATGACCCGTCATCACACGGACTGTAACAGACAGCTGATTTCTGAGTTTGCTCGTGGAATGCATGCCGTACTAAGTCCCCTGCCTGTTGAGTGGGTTGTGTTGGGTCTGAGTGCGTGCCTGTATGTGGTTGGTGTGCCTGGGTGATGAATGCGTGCCTGACTGAGTGCTTGAGTGTGTGTGTGACCCCGTCGGGGCCATGGATGTTGGGCAGGCCCGGTAGGGCCGGTACTTACCTATGGCGTGGCTTGGGAGGGGTGCAGCCAGGGAACACTCAAGTGGCGAAGCTAGCAGCCC